AAGTTTTCAGTTTTTGACCATTTAGTATGATGTTGGCTGTTGGTTTTTCATAGATAGCCTTAATCAGGTTGAGATAAAGACCTTCTATTCCAATGCTCTGTAGGGTTTTTATCATGAATGAGTGTTGGATTTTGCTGAATGCCTTTTCTGCATCTACTGAGATGATCATATGGTTTTTGTCCTTGACTCTGTTAATATAGTGGATTACATTTATTGATTTACGTATGTTGAACCATCCTTGCATCCCTGGGATAAATCCAACTTGGTCAGGATGTATGATCTTCTTGATGACCTTCTGTATTCTGTTTGCCAGTATCTTGTTGAGGATTTTTGGCAAAGCTACTTTTTGAACGCAGATTTTGCCAATTTCCTGATACTTGCACCACCTACCTAAGTTCACCCATCAGCACTCTAGTGCTTTCTAAACTTTTGGTTCTTTTCCTTCCTCCTCAGTCAGTGTCCCCACACCCTAAGCACAGAAACTTCTGGACCCTTCCCAAGAGCACCCTCCCTCAGACCCATCAGACACCAAACCCTTCCAGGTTCTAGCACACAATCCTATGTGAACAGACGTGTGGCCTTCTCAACACATGCCAAGACTCATATATCACCCCTGGTCCGTCAGCAATCACCTGCTTTCTTGGACAAAGAACAAAACTCCTCTTGACCTTAATTTTCTGACTCATCTTTTGGGGAAAACACTTCTTATGGGTCTCCCTCACAAAACTATGGTGATGATCAAGTGGGCTTCTCGCTAAAAGGGGGTCTGGCAAAATATAAAAGAGGAGAAGGCAGAAACTAATAGCCAGGAGCTCACCTTGGGTCCAGGCTTGGCCTCCAGGGTGGACGTGGTCCCAGCTGTGGACGATTCGCTGACCATGCTGGATGGTCTTTGGTTTTTCTCTTGCTTTGACATGTGTAGGTTTTGTCTGAGGGAAGAGGTAGAGGGATCCAGAGTAAATGACAAGCTGCAGAGTGGGAAGTGGAGGCTTATATTTACTTGAAGTTGGAAAGGGTTGCTTGGCCTTAGGACAACCCAGGCTGATCTTTTAGAGACTACTAGACTCCAGATTGCAACCAGAGGGCCACAATGTCTAGCCTGCCCTGGTGCTCCAGGGAGCCAAGAGGATGACAGATGGGTACATGTCCACAAAGAAGACCAGACTGTCATCCCTACCCGTGATCCTCATGTCCCCACACTTACTCTATCCAAGCAGCTGTGACAGCTGCCCCATCCAATGGGCATACACCACTTTTCACAGCAGGCAAGAGCAATCTGTACACACACGTGCACGCACGTGCACACACACACACACACACACACCTCCACTTCCCCAGCTCCCAAAAGAAGCTGTTTATAATTAGTAACAAGAAATCACTTGCGCACAAATCTACACCCTCAGATACACACAGAGAATGCTTACATAAACGCCAGTGGGGCTTGCCTCCCAAAATAGATCACTCAACAAAGAGTTCTATTCTGAGAACACTCCGTTTACCCCAAAATAGAGCTAATGACAATATTAACCCCTCATGCTGTGCCTTGGAGACGAGGGAGAGAAGAAGCAAGCCTCGGGCTCCAAGGAGGATCCTGGTGCTTCCCCATCAGCATCCCTAGAACACAGTCCTTTCTGCTGGGAAGCTGCCCCAGGAGGGCCAGCACTCTGGGAACATCTCAGTATGACACTCAAGAGACACTCAAGAGTGGTGCCCTCCTCACCTGCATCCAAAGAGCCCCTGCATCTGCTGGAGTCTTTTAAAGCAGCAGAGACAAATGCATCCACACAAATTCAATACCTATCCTTGAGCGGCTTGATGCCAAGTCTAGGGTCAGTAAACTTTCCTTGAAGCAGGAATCTCAGTGTCCTGTAGCTGGGTTTTGCCCACTGCTCAGATGGGGAACAGGATCCACACAGGTAAGATATAAAGCTGGCTACCAAAAATTGAGGATCTGCTTTGGAGGACTGGGTCAGGACCCTGGAAGATGGCGCTAGAGGATCCAGGCCAGATGAGCTGAGGAAAAAGCACTCAGATGTCCTTCACTAGGCTGGCTTTTACAGCTGTGCAACAGGGAAGTCCTAGTTTCCACGGCAGAGAGATGATGCCCCCTTCAAAGACCACTGCTGCTCAAAGGTCAGGTGATCCTTCCCATGCCTTGAGCCAGAGCCCCGATGACCCCGCACCAGGAGAGAAGTTCTCCACAGAAGTTGCTGTGACCACTGTGTTCCCTGAGCAGTGCCTTCGCAGGTCCACTGTAGTAGGCACCAGCTTTCCAAGGGGATGGACCTTATAGGATGCCTGGCAGCTGGAGGTATTCATCCCACCAGGCAGAAAGCTAGCTGGCTCCTAATCAACTCAGGCACTCACTCCAAATTCTGACCCCCAGCCTCCATCCCAGCCAGACTTTTTTGCTACTCCCCACTCAGAGGAAAAATGTCACTGAGCTCAGTGCTCCCTTTTGGCAGAGGCTGTGTGAGGCAAAATAATCACTGTTGGGGGTTTGAAGAGACTTTGAGAGGCAGCCTTGTTCACCCTTCGCCTCCAGGCAGAGGTGAGTCCAAAATGTCTTCCCAGAATCTAGTCTTGCCTGACTTCTGACTTCTAGGGGGCAGTCAAGAAAGAAGAGCTCTCAGATTGCCTCAGATAGGATGACTATACCTCTCAGCTAAAATTTAAGACACAAGATCCATAACAGAAAAAGTTTGTTTGAGAGTTTATCAAGTTTAATTTGCTCTCCCGTAACATACCACTAGAAGCTTATTATAGACTATTTGAGAAATACAAGAAAAAGTTTAAAGAGGCGGGGTGGGGGAGGACTTATCATCTTGCTACCCAAAGCAAAATCATTTATAACTTCATATATTTACTTTCATTCCTTTTTGCATACTTATTTTGTGTTTGAGGAAATGGGCATTTTTTTTTATTCTACATAACTGTGATCACACTATATTCATGTTCTTACATTTTGATTCCTTAAAACATTGTAATATATACATTTTTCCCAAGTACTCGAAAATCATCCACATCATTGTAAATGACTGTATCACCTGCCATCAACAGATACTTCATTCTACCTCTGTAGGACAAAGAAAAGATTGGAATTGTGATTGGCCCAGGAAATCAGAACAAATGGACACTTGTGCCATGTCTATACTTATAATCTTTAACCCTAACTTTACCCCTACCCACCCTTGACTCACATCCCCTTCCCATGGTAGCCCTGGGATACTAGCTGGCTGGAAAGCCCTCTCAGCCAACAGTATGGGAGAAAGATGACTGTCCTGCAGCTTTGGGTAGGTGAGGAAGGAGGGTAAGACTGGCCCCTGGGGAGTCAACTGTGAAGAGATTTCAGGCAGAGGACTGGTTGTGGCTACAACACTAAACACCAGGGAGGGACACTGGTGGTAGGGTAGGAGAAGAAGAGAAAGGAACACACAAAGATGAGTCCAGTCTTCATGCACTACATTGCTCAGCCTCACCCAGAGGATGCTTAAGAGGAAAACTAAAATCCAAACTAAGTCTGCCAGGGAGGAGATTGTGAGGTCTCTACTAACTTGAAGCTTGTCTTCTCCAGGGCCCCTGGCAGAGACCACTCCTAATCAAGCAGCAGACTCAACTCATACCTGGCAGTCCCAACAACAAGATCTGCCTTCTGAGCCTTCTCACCACAGGTCAAGCTCTTGCAGGTTCTCCAAGGGTGATTACAACTTTGGAAATACCTGTAAGTTATCTGGAATTACAGTTAGTTGTTTTTAAAAATGGTTATGCTTTGAGGATACCAGTGGTTATCAAAAATGGGGATATGAAAAAAGTCTCTAATTTCCTCACTTGGCAAGAAACTTTTAGGGGTGAATTACACCAACTACAGAAATATCTCTGGGGTGTGTGTGTGTGTGTGTGTGTGTGTGTGCGTGTGTAGCTTCCTGCACAGACAGCACTGAAAAGAGGGAAATCACCTGCTTGGACATGAACATCCGCCTTAGCCAGTTTCATCTTTCAGGTGTGTTCCCCACTTGCAAGCCTGGCTGGGATAGATAATGATTTGTCCTCAAGTCTGAAGGCTGAGTGTGCACTACTGACAAGTCTCACCCAAGAAACCTCTCCCTCCTCAAAGGCTCAGCTTGTGCCCTGAGCACAGTAATTGTGAAAGGCATACAGCTCCCATTAGCATGCCTTAGGGCATACTGAGTCACAGATCCCTAGGAGAGGAGACCAAAAAGCCAGCACACTTAAAGAGTCTTGGGGTCATTAAGTAAAATCTATTAACTTAAAAGCCTGCTTGCTCAGTTTCTGTGCTGTCTGGATTCCCAAAGTATAGTGGGATGGTTTGAACAAAGACTTCCCTTTCCTTGGATTAACTTAGATGAATGCTGATTATTTTGCTGGAGGGGTGTGGGCTGAAGTTCACAACAGTGAGCTAGAGTTTTAGCTCAACTGCCTCCCATTGGAAGCGAACAAAAGAAGTGAGGACTAGACAAAAATCACTCTAGAGAAGCCCTGTTGGAAAATGAGTCAATTCTACTCTGAGCTTTGTCAAGGATATGTCAAGAGAGCCTGGGCAGGAAGTGACTTTCTGTCTGACTTAATTTCCCCATCTATAAAAGGAGCTGCTTCTGCTTCCTGCATATCATGTCATGCTGAATGCGTATAATACTGACCAAATGCATATACTGATACTCATAGCAAGAAATGGAGGTTATAAATACAGAAGCCATTTTTTCTAGTAGGTCTAAATTGGGTGGGTTTGTTAAATGGGATCCTCAGCTGCCTTTCAATGAACGGTTTGAACTGAAATCATAGCAAGACCTTTCCTTGTTCTATACACACAAGAGTTAGGTTACCAAGCCACATGTCGCAATGCTAAGGTACAGGTACAAAGGTTAAGCAAGAGAGGGACTGCTGCTTGCCTATGCTTATCGAGCAACTATGTGTCAGGTACCTTTCCTGCATTATCTCAACCAAAGTCAGTTTTATCATCTCATTTTGCAGATGAGGAAACTGAGCCCCAACAAGATTAATGACTTGCTCAAGACAGCATCTGGATTCTAAAATCTTGGCTTGGCCACAAAGAGGTCATCCTGTGAAAAGTCCCAAAGTATGAGAGAAATAGGCTTTTGCTTTTATCATTCCAAAGCCAACCCTAAACCAAGGGGATTTTGGCATGGTGGAAAGATCCAGATAACTGGATCTCAGCCCTCCTCTGAAACTGACTGGCTCCTCCACAAATCACATGGGCTTTTTATTCCATTTTACAAAATGGAGTGGAAACTACCTCTCATCTCACAAGGCAGTTGCATGGATTGAAATGACACTTTAAAAACCATGAAGCATTGCCTAAAAGGAAAAGCATTATTTGTGACTGTTACCAGGACAGACCCGAGAATTTAAATCCCACCTACAGTTTATTTTTATTTGCAAGGCACTTCTCTCCAGAAAGCTGAAGGTGACAATTAGCTTTCAAACAACAATCATTTCCTATAAACACCCTTTCTGGGACATTTTGTTGTTACAGTATAGAAACATTGTGGAATAGGTTCTCATTCTGTAAAGATCTCAAGAGTCATCAAAGGCAAGTCATCAAGAAAATCATTAGAAAGTATGGGGAAACAAGAATCTCTTACTGAAAAGACCTCATCAAATGACACCTGTATCCCATTAATTCCTGGGAAAATGGCCCCCAAATTCATGCTCTATTCTCAAGAATTCTATACAAAAAGGGCTTAGCTGAAAGTATTAATATAGAGGAGGGGTGCACGAGAATGAGATATACTCACAAACACCAGCACATTTTTTAAGGAGCTTACACCCACCAACTAAGGGAAAAGCAATGCACAATGAAAATCAGGGAAAAAAAGAAAGTTCTTGTCCCTAACAGGCAGAAACATCTTCACACCCCCACTTCCCAGAGAAAGACACAGACAGATCACCA